TGGAGTCCAAGCAGGCTGGGGCTGGAGTGGGAGGACAGCGAAGGGGGACGGGAGGGGGCGGGAAGAGAAGGCAGGTCCCAGGCTGTCCGGGTTTTCAGATAGCCTTGGCCGCCTGCGCTAGTGGCCATTAATCCAGGATTGACAAGAATCCCTAATTAATTTAATTAGGCGTGCGTTTTGCGTTGGTGTCAAGACTTAGTTAAACACTGGGGAGCTGGACCTACTCCGCCAGGGCGTGGCCAAGAGGAAACTGACAAGTGCGCGTGGCTCCTGGAGTCAGTCCGGTATCCCGACTCGGCATCAGACCCTGCATCCTGCGCCCACATCAGGGTGCGGAGCAACTGCTCGGCTTCTCATTGCTGCCGGGCATCCCTGTCCTGAGTCAGGCGCCCCGCATCCCAGTTCCATATCCCGACCCGGTATTCCAATTCTTCACCCCCGTTCCCCATCTCCCACTCCATGTACACCTCGCAGCTCGGCATCCTGGCTTCATAACCCTGCCCAGAGGCAGGATCCTCTACTGCTCCTTGTAGAGGCTTTCCCGCCCGCCGCCAGAGCTGAGCCGGAGTCTTCACCAACCTCTCCGCCTTGGGGAGTTTGTGATTTACCCCTCTACTTGCGTCCTGGAACCCAAGCAGACTCCTGTACGGACAACCCCGCTCAAAGGGGCCGGTCGATTTAACGCATTTCTCGAGCAGCTGTTCCCTGACAGATTCCGTTTTAAAGTGTTTCCTTAGCTCCAGGTCAAAGATAGTTAAACTTCGTCCCTTTTCGAGATCTCGGGACCCTCACTCCATCTCCCTTGTAACTAACTCTCTGTATCCGGACTCCTCCCAAAATTATCTACAGGACCTCTTCTTTAGCATCCTGGGAAAACATTCTCCTTGATTTTCTGATTTTGAAAAGCAAGTGATTATCCCTCTTTGACTTTGCAAACAAATCGACATTAAGTTTGTGCCCTATCTAATTTTATTTATTGTGGACTATTCGAAAAGAGATGCTCGCCAGGAGAAAGATTTCTCTCTCTCCCCATGGACTGTTTTAATCCAAACAGTTATATGGTAGAAATGTCTACATTCTTGAGTCATTTGTCTGTATTGTGCAGGACAAAGCTTTCGGCGAGAAGTGTGGCCACATATGTATCTCACATAAGAACATTTACATATGAAAAGTTATATTTATCTGTGTGTAAACAAATATACCTCTTCAAGTGTAGCTTTGAGGACATTTTTGAGTAGTCTGAATGTTAATGAGGGCTTTCTGATGTTAAAGGTAACTTGTTCATTTTCTTGGATCTAATACTCTTAGTAAAAATAAAAGCAATTACAGAGCTTTAATATGTATATCTTCCACCTACTGGTTAAGGAATCAACACAAAGTTAACAGATAATTTGAGTTCATCATACAACCTGAAATATTTATAAAAAGAACACAACTAAAACTTAATATACTAGTATTTCTAGAATATATGTAAATAGAGGCTACGGATAACTTTGTCATATACTACTCAGATTAAAATGTTCACATTCAGCGAACTTAAGGTGGAAATTATACTTTTAGAAATATTACTTTGCCTTTTTTCTCTTGAATTCTGAAGTTATCTTTTGTTCTGCTTAAAATATTTCATTTGCTGCTACTTTCAGGAGAAATAATATCTTTATATTTTCAGTGCAATAGCTTTTAGATATTAATGAATTATATGAGTGGTTGCTTATATTTTATTACACTACAAAAGAGACTCATGTACTCACACTGTCCAAACTTATATGAATTTAGAAACACGATTTTACATTTAATCTTGTTACTATTTGTACCTACTTTAATTCTGCTGTCAGAGAAATAACCGTAAAACTTTAATCCTTTATGAAAATACATTTTTAAGGTTATTTAGCAGAATGACCAGGAAGAGCTCTCGAATTGAGGTGTTAAATACTATTTACGAACAGCTTCAAAATAACCACTATTAGAAGTCTGGTGAGGGATCTAGAGACTCACCAGCTACTTTTTTCCCCCGCTTTCAAGCACATGACTTTTAAGTCTGATCTCAAATTCTATCTACTGAGCTTGAGGGAGAGACAAGCACTTTAAAGGTAATCAGGGAAGGCTCAGACACAATCGTTGTGTGATTCACACCAAATAGATTTTCCTTTAGACCTTCCTGACATATTGGCTCTTTGTATATTTAGCAACTGTGTTGTTGATATTAGATGGAGTTATGAGAGATCTGCAGTGTTTGACTACGGACTCCACTGGCCTAAGGGAAGTTTTGTTTTTTTAAAAAAATCAAACCAAGGTTTTGAAATCATATGTGAATAAATGCTCATGAAGTTCTAATGATGCTGTTTCATTAAATAGTAAATATTTTCCGGAAACAGGACATTTCAAAATGCAGTTTTGGTAAAAAATAAATAAATAAATAAAAAGATAAAGTACAGTTGACAGCGCAGACAGGACCCACCTGAAAGGTCCCCTCAGCTCTTGAATTATTTAAAATAAACATAATGTTGTAGTTAAGTTTTAAAACGATCCCTCAGAACTGGTTAAAGTACAGTCATTTATGACAAATATATTCCTGGAGCTGATTTTCACCATCTCAAATGTGCAGAAAATGTAGCTTGGGTATCTAGCATTGTGAATGTGTTTGGTTCTCACAGTTCACTCAAACCAAGGCCGACAGTTTATTTACCTCCGTATCTGCGTATTTACAGTAAATAAGGGAAGACTGATGTTCATGCAAGGACAGATAAGTAATGTGGTATGAGTTAAAGAAAATGCCGAATCGCTTTAGTTTCTATTGGTTTAAATTACAACAAAAACCTAAACCCTTAATTTCTCTTTCAGAAGAAACCTCCTCTCCCTGCCTCGGGCAACGTTTCCCAATTCCTCTACCAACCAGGTACTTTAATATGAGAAACTAATTTGCACCTAACCTGTGAGTGCCTTCACCTTAAGGGCAGAAGAAACACCGACTTTTAATGCATTTTTTCAAGTAAATCATTATACTTTAATCACACACGACTCTATACAGACTCACTCCCATGATTTATTATTGTTGGGTGAGTTTCCTCCTCCCCCAGCTTGTGATAACCAATTTTGCTACGTGTGGGTGTCTTAAACATAACTTCCTACCACGCAGATATGTTTACTAATTATCTGTGACGATAACTACGATTACTAAGGCACTAACACTTTTCAGTCCCCACCTTTATTGCTTTTTGGTAACAAGAAAAACAAACGAGCAAGCAAACCCAACACCAAACAAAAAATTGGCGGCGTGACAATCTATTCCCTCGGTACTCGGAACGCCTGGCAGCCTCCATCGATGCACTCGAAAGCTCGGCTGATGCTGTCTGGCGCTGGAACCAGGAAGGCGGTGAGCTTAAACTGAAGCAAGTTCGGAGGACGCCGGCGGCGCCCAAAATTGAAGAAACGTTTCCAGGCTTGCGGAGCTTGCAAGTCAACGGGAGGTGTGATCCCGAAGGCCGGGAACCAGGTGATGCCCGCGTCCCGGGGCGGGGAGGAGGTGATCGCGCCCGCGGGTTTCCCAGGCCCTGCTTCCGCGTGAGGCGGCGCGGGCCTGGAGCAGTCTGTCTGCGAGGTAGCGGGTGGGTGGGCGGTGGCCTCGAGGCGTGCGAAGCGGCGCAGTGCCGTGCGCATGCGTCCCGCACCTGGAGGTTTCTGACCCTTGAGCACGAAGCTGTGGCCTCGGGATGGTGGGCGGCCATAGGGTGGTGCGAGGTCGCAGGCCTCCGGCTAGGCCCTCTAACTGACAGGGAGAGAGAGAGAGTTAGCCAGCTCTTCTGCCCCTTCCACCCTCACTCACTATTCTACCCTGTCTTGAGTACCTGACATTGATCGCTGCATTTGTTTTTATGGGCCCGTCTTGCAGTATGTGCCCGGTGCTTCATCACTAGCCCTGAGTAGGGTGCAGCGAGCGAGAGGCCGCAATCTGGTCCACGTTGCACCACTCACTTCGCTGTCTCTACTTTAGATCCACCTTACCTTCCAATAACCAACCTACCCTCCCTCCCCACACTCCCCACCCCTGTTCTTTCCGGCTCACACTTGAGTGCTGAGAGGAGAGATGGTTCAGGGTGAAATAGACTTCTTAACATATAAGTATACTCACATTAAGCACTCAGTTTTCTTGACTTCAGGACTTGTGGCCTTGTAATCAGAGACCAAGAACATATGGCTACTTTTAAACTCTTTAGTGAGATGTTATAATGCACTATTATACATATTAACTGCTCTTGATTTTATGCCCTAATTTCTCAGGTTATACATCTTTAAATGCACGTTGGAAGCTTAAAATTTTTTTTTTTTTGCATTTTTATAAGAATTAGCAGTAACCTATTTGCGAATCTACTAAGTAGGTACTAGGTAGTTAAATAAGTTAAAATGTCTTGTCACAAAAAGGTATTCAAGTTGTCAACATACACATAAAAGCGCTAATGTAAAGGAGATAGGCAGAGCTCTCAGGTTTAAGGGTTGCCGCAGGTGTTACAGGTAGGGAAACATTTTTTTCAGAGCCCCTCTAGCTTTAGGATCTATAAATATTCACTTTCTTTGCTGGCAAAGGAGATTTCCTGCTAAATGGTAGCACTTCATTACTGTATGTTCCTCAATAAGAGGGCTAAAAATGTTTGAAACTGAGAAAGATAAAGGCACCTGGCACTTATTAATTGCCTTACCAACTCGACCAGTCTCAGGAAAGAGTTGTGTTATGAGTTGGAAAACTTCTGTAATAAGATTGTTGTTGTAGATGTATAGATATGTTTTCTGCTTTCATTTTCAAACCATTGGGGAAAAAGTCCTGTGACTGATAATACTTTTTTTTTTTTTAAAGAAATGCAAATTTTTGTTATGGGAGGAATATTTTGTCAATTCTCTTTCTTTTGAGCTTTGCTTTGTTAGGCTCCTAAAGCTAGAATTTACCTGAGTTGTCCTACCTTTGCATAGTTCTATGCCTATTTGTGGATTTCTTCTTACGCTAAATGTTGTTAACCTGTATTTATTTTTCTCTATCTCTTTGAAGTGGATTTCTCATTGAAATGACTGTTCTTCTCTCCCTGCCCCCTTTTTTTGCCATGTGTCCAAGATGAAAAAGATTATAGTTTGATATAATAATGAATGAGTAATGGAGAAATAATTATAAACTGTCATGTCTTCTAAGAATCTTTGTTTTCTCCGACTTCCTGTTTTCTGAAAAAGATAATCGTTTTTTGTACTTTTATTAATAACTGGACAAAGGAACTACTTGTGTATGCCTTTGAGCTCTTTTTTGAATGACCTCATTTTGGCTCCATATCTTCAGTCACCTAAACTTCGCAATAAGATATTTCGATAAATTGATGTCCTACTGTAGCCATTACCTGTTAGGGTTTTAATTCTGTAGTGGGAGTAGTTTGGTGAAATTTGCAACCATGAGACTAAATCAGCAAACCAGAAACTAGAGTGAAAATAGAAAACCAAGAGCTGTAGGAATTTTGTCCCAATGTTGCCTTCTCTGTTTATAAATAGATTGAAAATTGTTAGCTTATAGGATACCTAAAAATCTGCGCTGGATTCATCATTGCCCTTACCAGAAAGAGATACTAATGTTTCTTTGCATCCATTGCACCTTACCAGCGGAGTTAAATATAGAGTTCTTCCTTACTAGGAGTGTGGAATATAAATTGACCACCATGACTTGAATGAGCAAGTATATTCAATTATGTGTTAGGGACATTATGGAAATCCAGATGTTAGTCTATATCTAGAGTGGTGAATAAGAATTTAGTGCCTGTCATTGAGAGAGAAGACAATTTTTGCATCTACCTCTGATTTGCTCTTAGTGTTCACTTCATTTTCTGAATAAATATTTGAAGTTAACTTTAATAAAGAAATGTGGCTTTTGCTTTCTCTTACAGAGATTAATTTTATTTCAGTGTAATTTTTCTGAAATGCAAGTGCATTATTTGAAAAAATATGGTTTTGTGACTGTGCTATTTCAACTTTTTTTATTTGGCTCCTCTAAGGAATGATTTTATATCTCCCATTATTTTCCTGGGTTAAATGAAATCATTCTATTATGGATGACTTATGTTGTTTAAAATTAAAACAAAGAAAAATTTGACCGTCCATCCCCTGCATTCTCTCTATTTTGGTTACCAACAAGATACATGATTAGATGCGTGTCTTTATTTTTTCCACTTTGTTATGCCTTACATAGGGACTTGTACTCTGGACAAGAATGGAGAATGGAAATAACTATACATACCTTAGAGCAGTGGTTCTCAAACTGTTTAGTTTTAGAATCCCTTTACACTCTTCAAAATTATTGAGGACCCCTAGAACTTTCATCTATGTGGGCTATATCTATAAATATTGCCTTACTAATAATTAAAATAGAAAAATTTGAAATATTTATTAATCCAGTTAAAAATAATAAGTTCATTACATGGTAACATAAATAACAAATATGATATGAAAAATAACTTTTCCAAAACAAAATATTTCCATTATTGCTAATCTCTGATATCTGGCTTACCAGAAGACAGTTGGGTTTTTACATCTACTTTTGTATTGAATGTATTGTGATGAGTTGTTTTGATTGAAGTATGTGAAGAAAATCTGGATTCACACAGATATGGTAATAGAAAAAGTATTTTTTAAATTTAAACTATACTTAATGTATAATATTAGTTTCAGGAAAAAGTATTTTAGTTGCCTTTTCAGATAATTCTTTGATACTACACCAAAACTTGACAAATAGTAGTTTCTTAAAGGTTAGTTGCAATGTGGTATTTGAAACCATGTTAATGACCTTTTCATACTCAATTATATTAAAATCTATCAGTCTATCTTGCACTGTGAATGGATTTTTTACCCATGCATGATTCTGTAACATGCTTTGGCCTACTGGAAAATGCTCGTTCACTGAGTTATGCATATATTTCAAATCTTGACACACTTCATTATATAATATTAAAAAATGATCACATTTGGTAATACCACTGATCTCATCAGAAAAATCTTTGGGTACTGGGAAGCTATCAGTCCCATGGTAGCAGATACACGTTATCCAAAATTCTAATTTTTGCTTGAGAGCTCAAATTTTATTATTGGCGACAAATAATGTCAGTTTTCTTGAAATGAGAGACTCCATTCATTTTTGAGAAAATGTCAAAATGCAAGTCTTAATAATCATAGTTTTTTAAAATAAAAAGTGTTTCATGACAAAAGCAGCTAGATTCAACTTGCAATGCAGTTGCAACAATGCCATTTCTCGAGATAACCATCATTCTTCAGTATGCAGGAGCAGTTTATATGTATTTTCCATTTTATCACACACAACATTAAAAGAGATATGTGTTCAAGTGTTGAAATTTAATAAAATCAATTATTTTTATTGCTTCATCAAGGACATTCTTAAGTGAACTGCCTTTTTTTTTAACTGTTGCAGTGAAGAATGCAATGACTGCTAGTACAGTTTGGTGCCATTGACATGATTCCTGTTAAGGCACCAGCAGTTTTGCCTACTATTGTTTTTACATCACTAGTACAAAAGTCAACATGGTGAAAAAGGTAAATTATGTTTTAGTATTATAATGAAAATAGTTTTAACCTTTTGGATCCCCTGAAAGGGTTTTCAGGATCCCCAGTGGTCTATAGACCCCATTTTGAAAACTGCTGTTATATCAGAACGTAAGCTCCTTAAGGGCAAGGTTTTCTGCCTCTTGTTCACTGATATATCCCTAATTCCTAGGTCTGCTATCATCCTGTGACATTTTACCTATCTCTAGTGTCATATCACTTGTTTTCTAAATCTGGGTTGTCTCTTGGTGGAGTGTGAGGTATAATTTTGAGACTTTGCATATCAGAAAATGCCTTTATTCTGATCTCATATTAGATCAATAATTGGGCTAGATATAGATTCTAGGTTGAAAAGCATTTTCACTTAGAATTTTGAAGTCAAGTCTCCACTGTTTTCTATGTTGCTGTTGAGAAGTCCTGTGCTTTTTATTGTGATTTTCCTTTTTTTTTTTTTCTCTTTAGAAGTTTCTGGGATGTTCGATATATTTTTGGTGTCTGAATTTTTATGAGCATGTTGGGTGTATATCTTTTTAAATTCATTGTCCTGGGAACTTAGGGCAATTCATATCTTATAATTCTGAAAATTCCGTGAATATTTTTCTTTATCTCTTCTCTCTTTTTTAATGGAATGCATATCAATTGGATATTGGACTTCCTGGACTGATCTTTTTTTATCTCCTATTTTTAATCTTTTTCTTAACACTTTCTTTGAGTCCTTTGACATTATCTTCTAGCTCGTGTGTGTGTGTGTGTGTGTGTGTGTGTGTGTTTTACCAATTATTCGTTACCATTGCAAGCTTTTTCTCTATGGATGTTCCTCCTCCTGCTGGATCATCTTCACCTATGTTTCTGAGGAAATTAACTGATTTTTTTGCCTTGAAGTTTTCTTTTGCATGTTCCTGGTTTACTATGAGTTGCCTTTTTTCTTTGTTTTGGTTTCTGCCTCTTATGATGAAGACTTTCATCAAGTGGTTGGTTATCTTTTTTTTTTTTTTTTAATAGTTACTAAAAAGTTAACAGAAAAGCAGTTTATAGAAAAAAGTTTAAGTTTTGAGTTTGTTAATTGATGAGCTTGGTTATAGGACCTTGCCTTTTTTTTTGGAAAGACTTTCAAATACTTAAATAGTATATCTTATTTTAAGTACTGTTCGGTTTTTGCATAGATGAATCCTCTGCCAGAAATCTTGAATCCAAGCACACACCAGTATTTATCATTATTTGTAGACTTTCACGTAATCCGTTTAACTTTTAGTTTATCACCTCTGCCCTCTTTTACTGTGTCCCTGGACCTGGTGCTTTATTGTTTAGTCATTTTTCTGAAATAAACCACCTCTCCTGGGATTGAAGAAGAGTAGTCACCTCTTTGGGTTATATAGGGAAGGAGACCTGGGAGATTACTTCTTTTATCTACTTTCTACCAATTCCTTTGTTTTTTAGTTCCATGCCTCATTGTGTCCACTGTGGTAACTGGTGTCTCAGATTCCTGATCCTTTTTGATTTTTGCTATGTGAATTGGCTTTTCTCTTATTGGAATTCTCTACAGTTGTTTGGTATTCAGCTCTCTTAGCTCTAAATCCTCCATCTGTTTTTTATTTGCTAAAAATTTGTTGACATATTTTGTCTACTGTTCTTGTTGTTTACTCTTCTAGTTTCTTTATCCTTGTGAATTTATACTTTTTTTATCCTTTTACTCTCATTTTAGTGTTTTTTAACAAAATAATAAGAACATAATCAAAACTCATGTTAAATGGTTTCTTGTGGGTAAAGAAAATTCTTAACTGCTTAAAAGTGAAAATAAGAAAGGAGGAAAAAGGCAGGAAATAAGAAAATTTAGATGATGATATCACTCAATTATGTACAAATTCCTTAATGGAAATGCACACATACACTCGTGGTTATATATTATATATAATGGGTACATGGATATATATGTGGGTATTATGTACACATTTATTTAAATAAATATGTATATATACGTTTATATGTATAATTTCATAATCATAGTATTTCGAAGCTGGAAAGGATCATGGTGTTCTTTTACCTAGTGCAGTTTCATTTTTTAAGGAGGCTTAGATTTTGCTAGTGCAAGTTACACAACCAAGTCTCTCCAATGTTTTGTTGAGCTATAAAATGTTAGAAATGGTAACAACTCCAAGGTTCAGAACTATTTTTAAAGTTTATCTGGCTCTCAGTAAATAGCATAAAGTTTTGAATTGAATCCTAACAGCAGTTTTTAACTGGAATCACGGAGGGGATAAGCTCTCTGACAATTCTGAAAACAATGCTGGAATTTAACACATTGCTTTTTTTATAGTAATGATATTTAACTTATTTTGAATAAATATTAAAGGAAAGCATGAGATATTTATTTATCTGATCCATTAACCATTTATTTTAATCATTACATAGGATGAATCTTGCTTTTATGTGATATTGAAAGATAGTTAATAACTATCAGTAAAAAAAAAAATAAGAGTGCAGATGAGAATCTAAAGGCTAACTTTAAAGTAAGATAAGTTAGTTTCTTATCAGCTAGGTTAATTCATAAATATGAAAACCTTAAGTTCTATTTCTGTATGTTTTTTTCCTTTTGTTTACTAAATATACAAACATCACCATAGCCATATAGAAAATAGTTTAAAAAAGAAAAAAATCACCCAGTTTCAACAGTTAAATATTATTAGCTTTCATTTTTACTCTTATTCATATGTACTTATTTTCTTAAATTGTAGTCTTTGTAGATACAGCTTTAATAATGCTACAATGGGTATCGTCATGATTATATCTTTCTTTTAAGAAAAACTTTTCAGATGTATTCCTAGAATTAGGATCGCTTTGTAAAAAAAAAAATCGACAGTTTTATGACTCTTTATTTAAATTGTTAAATGCTTTTGGAAGGATTATACCACCACTTTATAGGAACTAGCAGTGTGAAGAGTTGACTGACTTCAAAAGTAACTTCATCGACTTTGGTACTTAACATTTCCTCCTCCAAATTTCACAAGTGAAATGTTGATAGTGTATTGTTTCAATCTGTACTTTGTTGATGACTAATAAGTTTTGTCCATTTAAAAATTTAGAATTTTCACTTAGAAAGATGTAACCCTAAAACATAGTAAAATATCTTTCATCTTTAGGGAATGTGAAAATGAAAGATTAGGTAATTGTTCCCTAAATCAAGTATCGTAATTAATGATAAATGCAAGTTAAAATATAAGAACATTTTTATAATGAGCTATCTTCAGGATTGACTCTTTTGAGAGATATTTGAAAAAATTTAGGACAAATTTAAGTTGTTCATAAATTGTAAAACCAGTTAATTAATAATCCTAGCAGACTGTACTAGAGCGGTTTCTCATGTCTTGTCAAGAAGGTACATTTATAATTCTACTTTAAGACTTTAAAATTTTTTTACAAAGTTTAAAAAAAATCACTATATTAAATTTTATCCATTTTGCCATTATGTTAGAAATAATTTTCTTTGAATTTAAACTCGTAGAAATGGGACGCCGGTCATCAGATACTGAAGAAGAAAGCAGAAGCAAGAGAAAAAAGAAACACCGTAGACGGTCATCCTCAAGTAGTTCTTCAGATAGTAGGACATATAGCCGAAAGAAAGGTGGAAGGAGATCAAGGTCAAAGTCAAGATCTTGGTCCAGAGATCTTCAGCTTCGCTCACATTCTTATGATAGAAGGTGATTTTCATAATTTTTACTTACATAGTAATGAGAGTAATATTCTTCAGAGTTTTTGTTTTTGTACTTTTAATTTTTCTGGGTAAAACAGTTTTTGTTTAGTAGTGGTGTATTTATGAGGGTTAAGCTCCAACCTAAAGGTTTGCTTGCTTGTTTTTTTTTTTTTTTTTTGCCAGGCCCAGCGCATGAGTTCAGTGTCTTCGTCCATTGTCTTTTCTTTGTAGACAAGTAGACATCAACTAGTATAGTTCTTATACTATATTATCTGGTAATATTGGAAGGATTAAATATACTACTATGACCCCTAAAGTCTTAATTAGTAGCTGATTTGAGCAATAAATTATGAAACCAATCATCTCACTGTTCAAGAGGAATACCATTTTATCTTCGTTTGTTTCTAGAAAGAAGGCAATAAAAATAAGATGATTCTTTAGAATCTAGATGATTTCTCCATAATGCTCATAAAATTTTTTTATAGTAATGATACTTGATTATATTTTATTTCAGACGCAGGCATCGGTCAAGCAGTAGCTCTTCTTATGGCTCCAGAAGAAAACGAAGTCGAAGTCGTTCAAGGGGTCGAGGGAAATCCTATAGAGCTCAGAGGTCTAGGTCAAAAAGCAGAACAAGAAGGTATGCCATAGTGGGTACTACTTTCTTTGTAACACATCATCCCTAAATTTAGTGACCTGAAGCAACAATTATTTATTTTCTCATCATTTTGTGATCTTGACTGAGCTCAGCTGGCAGTTCTGCTTGTCTCACATGGGGTCACTTATGCGATTGTAGTTATGTGATAGCTTGACTGGAACTAGATGGTCCAATGTGGCCTCACCCTAGCATTTGGTGACAGCTGTTAGCTATTTTCTGGGATGCTTTAGTTTTCCTGTAGCTTCTTATCCTCCAGTAGGCTAGGTTGGGCTTTTTAATGTGATGAAATAAGTATTTCAAGAGGATAAGAGCAGAAGCTGCAAAATCTCTTAAGGTCTAGCCTCAGCAATAACCCAGTATGTTATGGAGTGAATGTTTGTGTTCCCCCTAAATTTATATGTTGAAGCCCCAATCCTCAATGTAACTGTATTTGGAGATAGGGTCTTTATGGAGGTAATTAAGGTTAAGTGAGATCATAGGTGTGGGGTCCTAATACAATAGGGCTGGTGGCCTTATGAGAAGAGGGAGAGATCTTTGAGTGTGCATTCAGAGGAAAGACCACACGAGGACACAGTGCAAAGGGAGCTATCTACAAGCCAGGAAGAGCCAGTAAGCTAAGAACCAAATCAGCCGGCATCTTGATTTTGGACTTACAGCCTCCAGAACTGTGAGAAGTAAATTTCTGTTGTTTACGTTACTCAGTCTGTGGTATTTTGTTGTAGTAGACCAAGCTCACTAATACAGGCTGGCTGTCACTCCATCTGTTTTCTTGCTGTGCCCAGGAGCCATTAATACAGAGAATAGCCTATCTGGAGAGAATTGGACATTTTGGGCACTGGTAGAAAATATGATTGAATAGTATGGGGACCATGGTACTGAGGGACTTGGTAAAGAAGTAGGGATTCAAAAGTTATTGAAAGTTTTTGAGCAGAAGAGTGTTAGGATAAAAACAGGCATTTAGTAAGATCAGCTGCTATTCTCTGCTTAGTTTTTCATACTACTATTAGGCTTTATTTTTTTCATTTTTTTTTTTTAATTTTTTGGGATAAAACTTAGTAATATAATTTTATATTTTTCAGGTGTATATTATAATTTGATATCTATATTTTATTTTGTGTTTTTCACACTAAACCCCCAGTTTCTTTTCATCTCCCATATATTTGATCCCTTTTACTCCTACCCCTCCCCCTCCACTTTCCTTTCTCTGAACTCTTTTACCCTGTCTACCTCTTTCCTCTTCCCTCACCCCCTACCCTCTGGTAACCACTAGTCCATTGTCAATGTCCCTGAGTCTCTGTTTGTCCTGTTCATTTCTTGCTTTTAGGTTTATGTCCCACAAATAAGTGATATCACGTGAATTTCTACTTTTTCTGTTGGGCTTATTTCACTTAGCATAATTATCCTGAGGACTACCCAGGATGTCACAAATGGCAGTATTTCATCTCTTTTAATGGCTGAGTAC